AATCAATTTTGGAAACAAAAAGTATAACTATAGAAAAAGCTGTTCTTTGTAAATTCTAGAACTTTTCGTACTGCATCATGTGGTATATTTTATTTTTTTAATCGAACGTACTAAGTAATTGAATACTGAAATGCAAAACGCGTCCATTTATTATGTCCGATTCGTTACTTGAGTAAGTAGAACACTACTCTTTGTTGAAGGCTTACCGCGAGTGTATCATCTGGCTTTGCAAGATATTACCATACATTATATCTGCCACCAATTGAGCACATTTTGGTTATCGGTGAATGACTTTGTTTGCATTTGCACAGTATTTGCTCCATCTCTTATGCTTCATAAACACTTCGTAACAGCGAAGATGAGGAAAAAAATCGAACAAGATGCAAGTAAATACTATAAATCAAAGAATTTGATCAGGAAAAAAGAATGTTATAGAATTTGTATAGCATCTCCTGAGAAAATGCGTTGTCTTGCGAATGAATATGTGCGTGTGTATGTAGATGTCTTAGGATTAAGTAAAGGTGTAGATAACTCGTGCAGTGAGTGACGATGAAGGAGTGGCTTAGAAAATGAGAGAATTTGCTTGAACCTCTCTCATATTCTTCAGACTTATTTTTATCATCATCCTAATATTCTAATTGCGAGCCGAATGCTACCCACTCTATATCCTTAAGCGCTATAATACCAACGATGGAACTCAGTTTATAATAAATCTTTTGAGCAAAAATCAATTCAGCTTCTATCTAACCACGAACTTTTCACCATTGGACGTCTGAAACGATTTTTGTTGCTAAAGAAGTCCGATGTATGAAACTGCACTGATATTTTGAAATGTCGAATAAGTCAACAAAATAGAACACAGGGCGTCGAGCTTTATCGACTGAAAGACACCAGTATGTCAGTTGTTGGTTATCATGAGCAATCTCTTTGATTTTCTTCGATGTTAATTGTTTCTCGAAATAGCATGGCAAAAAAACAATATTGGTTCTCGAATTATGTTCGTAGATGAGTGGGTCAATCAGATATTAGGTTTCATTAATTTTTTCGAAATCATTCTTGTTGTACTCTTTGGTGAAATTCGTTTGAGTATTCCCAATAAGAAACACGTGTTGAGGTCTGGTGGCGCGTCTGTGTAAGTCGATAAGGATAAAAAAGAAGATGAACACTTACTGAGACTCTTATACTTCATGTCAAATGCTCAAATAAATCTTTTACGGTCAGAAGCTTTTCATCATAATGAAAAGCAGAAGACTTTAAGATTGAGGAGTAGATGCTTAAATGTGCTTCACGAAAATGTATCTAACATTTCGTCCTTAAAAGAATCTCCTTCACAGTTAATGTCCTTGAGAAATGATTTATCATATGAATATATTTCCCATCCTCATCCTCAATTATTTTTTTTAAATATACTCTTACGAGAACATAGATGTCATTGTAATCCAAATATATTTGGACAGATATTTAAGTTGTTTTTATGGAAGATGTATTTCTAAATGAATAATTTTAGCGAAGGTATGTGAAGGTTATATACCAGTTGGAAATGGTAACTAAGACTGTCATATATTATCAGGATATAACCATATGTTTAAAAGACATTTAAATAAAGTTAATAATTTAATGCCTGCAGGATTAAAACTTGAAACAAGATATAAATGCCGTCGGTAATCCCAGGAGATTGCTTTATTCTATCTATTTTGGAATACATTTTTTCATTATCCTTTTGCTTAATTCTTCAAAAATGTAATAAGAAAGTTTAGTCTATATATTAGAACGGCACGTTATTGAAAATACGACCTTTTATCATATATGAACAACTTGTGTCACAATCTATAAGAGGATAGGAGTTCAAGTTCTTACCTCAATGTACTTCAAAGCTTCTTTTAGATCGTATTTCACAAAAATTTATTCCAATATTTAATTGTTCATCGACTTACTTCGAAAAGAAGTAAACGCCGCCCATAATTTGATTCTTCAAACAAGTAGTGAATGCAGCCTCATACAAAATGATACAAGTCCAGAATCACTGAACAACGAACTAAAGAATTATATGATCGATTTTAACAATAATCAAATTATGGCGCAAGATTTATGGTGTGAACTTTCTTTTTTTTTGTTGAAAATGAAAAATAAAACTCAATTCACAATAATAAATAAAATGACATGCTTATCATTATCGTCCAGCGTTGTTAACATTTTTCTGAAAGAACATTTTGATAAGGAAAGATATTCTATCGGAGGATCATACAACTAAGGACAATTTCTCAAGGACATTTTCACTGAGGATATTTTAGACTGTTACCAAATTGAATGCGTCTAGCTTTCTCCAAGTAACTCTTTGTGCAATAGAAAACTTCATTATGAAGCACTAAATGAGATATATGCTGCTTCATGAATAACTTGGAAAGACTTCGAAGAACGAGAAAAGCTCAGTGCTATTATTACATATTACTTTATCTGCAGTAAAAAAGGACGAAATGAAGATGTGTCTGCTCCTGTGCGTAGTAGATAAAGAAAAACAAGCGGCATGGTCTTGTCTTCGTTCTTCAATAATAAACTACATGAAAATGGATGTCCTTTCCACTATCGATAGAGCGAACGTGTCGAAAGCGCTGATAACAACATTACTTTAAGAACTTAGCCATTAGTAGAAAAAAATCAGCCGCTTCCAATTAACATTATTAAAACTGGTTGTTGACATAAATCAGCACCCAAGAAATCTGGCCACTGTGATGAACCGTCTTACTTTGATCTGCAATTGTTTTTTTATAAGCTATTACAATTTCTAGCAAAGCAGCAACTGCGCTGCTAATAATCGACAACAAAAATATATTATCCCTCTGCATAAATGAAGAGAGCTAAATCGAATGACATAGCTATCAGAAAGCACGTATGCATGCCATCAGTTTTCAGTAGAGGTTTCGAGAATCCACACACGTTTGAAGTAGCGAGTCTTGGTGTCGCATAGAAGTAATAAATGGCTAATGATTGAATCTGCAAAATCTTAATTTTCGAACATTTTTCTCCATGATCTACTTGTTAAATAGAAAGCACTTCGAGCCCCCGTCATGGTCACTCCACAATCTGCACAGTAAACATATTTTCTCGATGTAGGTGTGGATGTTAGTTTCGATACAAGTGCTTCGGCGTTGGTATTCATTCTAGTCTCACGAGAAACTACATCCATACCTACACTCATGTCCTTAGTCCACACATCCATACTTACTCGAATAGCAATAAGTTAAAAACATCAAAACTTGAATTTCTGGATAGTTCATTGCAGGTTACAACATGGGCAGCATTTTTTATTTCATAAATGTCATCTGTACGAGATCGGTCGTAGCTATTATGCAATGATCCCAATAGCATTCTGTCCAATACTCATTTTAAAAAAGAAAGTGTGAGTATCGTTTGAATAACTTTTGATAGAAACTATATAGATAGAGAGCTGCGGTTTTCATCGTTTGAAAGAAGAAATGATACTGCATCGAATCGTGTAAAACAGATTTTTCTGACAAGTTTTCTCAGTCTCACCAACTTTTTTTTTTAAATCAGGCTTTTGAATAGGTGCATAAGGTGGATTTTCCGTTAAACAATGAGAAAAAAGTCAACTTTTTATGAAAAATCTGTGGATAACATGCACTAAAATGTGTGTAACTCATGATTGGCTACATGTTACCACATCGGACTTACATAATTCATAGATCTTCAGTTAATGATCCTGGTGCACACTTGAAAATTGAAATTGTAAAACTTGCATTAAATCATGTATTGTTCTTAACAAACTTGATAGTAGACTCTGGAAAACCTTGTCAGAAATTATCTGGTTTACACGATTCGATGCAGTTTCATCTCCTCTATTAAAAGGTGAAAAGTGTAGCTTTCTATCTAAATAGTTGCTATAAAAAAGTTATTGAAAAGATACTCACACTTTTTCTTTTTTTTGGCATGGGTATTAGTAAGATCGTACATGACTGTGCGTCTGAATTGTTCATTTGGACATAGTGAGTCTCAACTGTTTCAGTAGAATAGAACAAAAATGTATGAACAGATGAGAAAATCAATAGATGGTAAAAATAATACAAATGTCGTGCCAAAATAAATGAAACCTCATATACTTTAAAAGAAATACGTCACACAATTGTTTGTAGGAAATAGAAAATCTTCAGAGTGTTAGATCAAGGATTTTTACATAGCTCTTCAAGTTTTTTTTTCAGTCGTTGTTCATCTTGACTTTCTTCACCCGGCAGTGTCTTATTCGGAATATTTGGATCCGCCTCGTCAAGATCGTCTATTCGATGGATCACACTGCCATTGCGAATGAAAATAAATGTTGGCGTGTCTTCGATGTTCAAATCGGTCTTAATTTTCTGTTCGCCTCTATTAATAATGCATTTATAGAACTGAGTGCCATAAGTATTTTTGTAGTCATTTTGCCAGTTCTTCAATCTACCTTCGATCGTTCCTCGATCAGGGAATCTATTGAAGAAAAAAAATGAATTCGAATAATTCAATTAACATGTGTATATTCTCTCTTTCTCTCACTCTACGTTGAATAGAACCACAATGAGCTTCCCAGGTGCTTGCTTTGACTTTTCCAACATTGATTCATATGTATCCAGTGTGGGCAACTGGATTCCACTTTCGAATCTGATTGCTGTTGCCATCGTGTTGTAACAAAAAAGAAAAAAAATGTGGTTTTCAGTTAAGCAAAGAATACAAGCGAAGAAAGCGATGAAAAGCAAATAGAACTAAAACAATCTTCATGTTTTTTATCACCAGTCAATGTCAATGTAAACAACAGAGCAAAAAAACGAGAATCCACGCATTTTACATAAACTGACAGAGCAATAAAGAAATCTTGACTCTGTCTCGCATCTTGTAACAATTTTTCTTTTTCTTTCCATCATTCGGTTTGGTAGCACGAAGTAGAATATTTACAGAGCACAATCGAAGCTTGATTGTTTCGTAAAGTTCAATTTTGATTCTATTACTCTATGTCAATGTATTTAAACAGTGCAAGCTCTGAACAGAATGCGCTGCCATCGCTTGGAACACAAAAAAAGCTAACATGGAAAGAACTCGTAAAACAGCAAGCAGACAATGGCAAGTTGAAGGGTGCTACATGTGCTGTCTACTCGAAAAATGTAGATGATATCATTGATAAGGAAACTCAATGTATTTGTGGCCGTTTACCGCGTCAGCATAGTTTCACTGGTAAGCCAAAACCAAAATTTAGGAATGCTCAAAAATGGGCATCGAAGCTTGCCGCTATAGTGGATGTGACCCAATACGGGCAATTAGAAAATGGTGCTCGAGTACGTACCTGTTTGATGCCAGTATTGTATGATAGTTTACAGTTAACTTTTTCATAGTTTATTCGATGTGATACAGAAAATGATACATTTGAAACACTTGGTCAAATTATTGTCAAAGATGTGGGTGCCAAACCCAAATTACTTGTTAGTTGTTATGGTGGAGCGGAGTATTTTACCATGACTGACGATCTGGAAAGAGAATTTATGAATGGTATTGGTCAAGTGGCAGCGACGAAAGGTTAGTCAAATATTAGGATTTTATTAACTAAAATGAATGCTGTTTGATTACGTAGATGTGTGGATATTAACAACTGGCTTGAATAGTGGTGTATCAAACCTTATTTCTCAGGGTGTTCATCGCAACAAATTGTTAAATGAGAATATATGGAAGCCAATTGTTATTGGAATGAGTCATTGGGGCACAATTTCAGAATACACACGACAAGTTCTCAAGCAGCAGGTATTCAAAATGACGTATGTCCTTGGATTCTGAAACCATCTGTCGCAGAACTACAGTATAGCGTTTAAACTGTCATATAAAGAACAATTTAAAATAATTCAAAAAGCTTCGTTGAATAAAGATATTTTCGTAATTAGAGTTTTCCAGTATATAGGATTCTTTGTATGATCCTGTCGATACCAGATGATAATTTTGTTCTCCAAATACTTTAGGTTGAAGAGATTTCGACTTTTAGTTACTTTTATCACAATTCCATTTAAGGTTGGCCAATAGAACATGAGTTGACAATTTTGATCTGAGTTCAGAATACTTTTGTTGTTTCTTGCAAGCAAGTTCCAGAGCAGTTTTTCAAATGCGTTGTTACTTTCCATGTAACCAGGACGACAACTATTAGTACTTCGATCTTGTATTTTTGTCTTGTTTGATCAAGGATAAGAGTAAGGGAGAGATAGAGAGAGACAAATGATAGAGTATAGTACCGAATCTAACAACATCATACTTCCGATCATAGTTAGAGCCTGCAGAATTTTTCTCTTTTTGGTACTGGTACCAATGAAAACAATTAGACCAGACAGAATCGATCGGTAGATCGGCATGAGTTATTCTTCATTTTTCTGACTCTATAATCGTCAAATAAAATCCTCGACTAGTCATATCTGCCTCATGATTGCAAGAGTAATGAAATACGAGCTTCCATTAAGATGCTTTTTGCTATTGATTCGTATAAGGTTTCTTTCTCTTCTCATGTATTGATCAACAAACATCTTCATAGGGCTTTGAATTCTATCGAAGTTTTCTACAATAATTAACTGTTCGTCAGATATGGACATCTTTAATTAACTCTGTACTTAATGTGTGCCACATATTATATTCGCTTTGTTATCTGTTATGTCTATGGACAATATACGCTATGGATAGTAGAGAAATATAAGTCGTTAACTACCTATAGCGCTAAACAATTACTCGATATTATTTTCATACGCTAACATGACATCCAATTGAACTGATAAACTAGACTAAGTATGTTAGGTGGATTTTTATTTCATAGAGTAATCCGATGTATGTCCTCTTGCAGATATAGTCTTTGGCGTTAGTTAAAAGTGTCTAATGTGCGAAAAAAAGCTTTTATGCACACTTTCTGAAAAAAACATCGAAAAAATTTCAAAAATTCAAAATTGTAATTAAAGAAAAACTTGCATCTACCAGCCGTTTAACGTACCCACTCTTGCATCGGATTTGATACTATAGAAAATTTAATATTGAATTTATATTACAGATCTTCATATATAAGTTTATAACTCGTACTGCTACGCTTAGAAACATTATCTAAAGAAAAATAAGAGATATACTGAAAATTTATTTGTCGCAGGCTTCAGCAAATGGATCAACAGCTTCTCAAGACACAGTAGTATCTTTGGATGAAAATGACACAAAAGCACTTGATAAGTATCATACTCATTTTCTATTGCTCGATGACGGTCGTTTCAATCATTATCTCAATGATGATCCTCGCTCGAAATTTGTTAAAACAACGTGCGATCAGGCACATTGCCATGCTGTAACGATCATTGTCGAAGGTGGTCTAAATACACTCGAAGTGATTCAACACGATTTGAATGATCAACGACCAGTAGTAATTGTTCATGGAAGTGGTCGCTTGGCAAGTGTTCTCGGTAATCTGCTCAACAAGGCAGGAAAAACAGCCACCATCGAGTAAACATATTTAGTCTGAAAACAGTTAAATTTATAGATTCTATTTATTTACACATCAGGAAAAAAGAAGTGGAGCAACAGCTTAAGCTTTGTCCCGCATTGTGCCGTCCTACTGAAGACGAGCAAAACGAAACCATTAGCAGCATTCAGAATATACTTACGCTTCAATATCGGTCCTATTTGAGCGTGTTCCAACTCGATCGCGATATCAGCCTCACCAACACAATATTTAGAGCAGTCTTCGATTGTAAGTACATATAGAAAATTTGTGTCGAACTATCAAATCGAAACATTATTCTCTAGCTCAAACTGAAACACAGAATTCAGGAAAATTGCTAGAACTAGCCGTGAGTTGGAATTGTGTAGACGGGGCACATGATGTCTTCAAACGAATTCAAGCATCGAAAGTCAGTCCAACAGATAAAAACGCACAAGACAAAAGTCGAAAATACTACCCGAGTTTGTTCGAAAAAGCGCTAATGGAAAATCGGCCATTGTTTGTCGATTATTTCTTACGTCGATATTACAATCCACTAGAAACAACTGCATTTGTCGCATACAAAAATCCAGGTAATTTTGCTTTAGACTGAATCGCTGTAGGCATCACTGAATTCTTTACCGATAAAAGTCAATTAGTTGATCGTAATTGATTTGCTTTATTAGAAGGACCAAATCCAAAGCAAGTATCATCAAACAACTTCAGCGATGAAGAAAAAATGTGTGTGAGATATGCGCTCCAGTTTATCATAGAAGTTCTCTACAAGAATGATGGCAAATGGCCTATGGTGGTAAGAAGTAAATGTAGTCAATGTATTTTTTATTCAAGTACTTAAATCAATATATCCGAGGAATGTAGAAAATCGCCATTGTGTTTTACTAGTAAAATGTAGCCGTAAATACTTATTAGTTTAAGAAAAAGTACTATTACACTTTTTGTCAAATTGCAAGTACATTTGCAAAAATCTAGAGTCACATTATTTATTGGCAAAAACCCAGTGCACACAGTCTCTTTTACACTTAGAGCATGTAATGAAGTACTTGAAAAAGGCACATTGACTAAGGACATCACTGTCTCGTACATATTAACTGCTTGGGTTCTGTATTATTATGCTAGACATGTTTGCTTCCACGCACACTCAAAGAACTTGATGAAACATATCATAAATTGATTGGACCATATGTGGAATCTTTCTATCGAAAAAAGCATGGCACATTCGAACATTTCTGGAAAGAATTTGTGTCATTTTGTCATCCGTCACAATGGATTAAGCTGAAAACCAATCGTGTCAATCCAGCACTCGAAACATTCGATGAAATAATTACATATACTCGGCCATCATCACTCCTACAGTTGGAAGTTTGCTATGACTGCCAGAAGTCATTTGGTAAACAAGAAATGTTGCGCGATATTTTCTTGTGGAGCATCTACAAAGGCTACATTGACATAGCATTTGTTCTCTTACTTCAGCTTAAATCACGCACTAGTGCAGCACTAGTCGGAGCCGGTATGGCCCATCATTTGTCGTCAATGGGTCATAATCCACACATACGAAACACATACAAGGAATACCGAACAGCCTTAGAGGAGTATGCCACGGCATGCATTGATGCCTGTTACAAGCATAATGAAAGACTTGCTTGTCAATTGCTCTCACGCGAAATACCTCTCTTTGGAAATATTACATGCATGCAAGTACATAAGCCAGACTCAATTGTTCAATAGAAATTATAAATTGTTTTTTATTCATAGGTAGCAATTTCATCTCGCAGCATTCCATTTATCAACACGAATTGTTTTAATCAAGTTCTCGATCAACAGTGGTATGGCCATCTGGACGGCACTTCAATTGAAACAGTATGGGGCACATGCAAATTTGCTCTTCATCTTGCTTCGTTTGGTATGTTTGCGCCTCTACTTCTTAACTACCGCTCAGTCGATGAGTCTCAAGAAAAGGTCTAACTAGCATTAATTATCAATTTGGTTTCGATGCTTTGTTGTTTCATGTTTTAGAGCAAACAAGTTGATGACACTCCGAACAAAATTCCTGATAGGTATCTATTATTTCAATTTTGCCTCCAAAACTGAAATAGCTGAAATAAAAATTACCGATTTAACGATAGATTCTACCTACCATATATCTTAATTCGAGACAAGTTTAACAGATTGACTAAACCAGTTTAAAAATTAGAAAAATAGTTGATTTGAGATGCTTTTGGTACCAAAATATGCAATGCATATGTTTTAGAGGACTCGATGGCATAGACGATCAGTCAGATAAAGAAGCTGGATATGGACGCAAATGGATACAGTTTCATGGTAGTCCTGCTGTAATGATATCTTATCAGTTTGTAAGTTTCATCCAAAGAAATATCATATAAATGCTAATATGATTTATTGAAAACTTTATTATAGGTACTCTACATATGGTTCTTACTTGTATTCAGCTATCTAATGCTGTTTCATATGAAATCTTCACACGATTCAGTTCATTGGAGCGAAATCTATGTGATTATCACTATTTCGGCAGCTCTTATCGAAGACATACGAAAAGTTAGTATTGACTATTGCAATATGAGAATGCCTATGATGTATACTGAGAATCTAGCTCATCGTCGAGTTTCACACATTAATGTTGGAACGATGGCACAAAGCGGACTTGTGGATATTAAGTATTTATATCGCACCTTATCTTCTATTTTACATTGGCATCGGACTTCACTTTGGCTCAAAAGTTCGTCCCGATTTGTTCACTGCAGCTAGGTGAGTAAGATGAAACCATCAGTATGAGATTGGTTCAAATATAAACTGGACATAGGATTGTGTTGGCTCTTGATCTGGAAATATGGTATCTCTTTTCATTGCGCTTTGTTAGCGCGGTTAAACTTTTGGGACCTAAACTGTTCATGATCCGCAATATGGTAATGACGAAACCTTACATAATGTCGTTTTTATGTTTTTTTTACATTAAGATGCGTGATCTCACCGGTATTATCTACATCATTTTTGTGTGCATTACTGCCTATGGGGTAGTTTCACGTGCGTTAACTATGTATTCAAGCATCCAATTTACTGCAAATAATATCTCAGCTTCCATTTTTTATCGACCTTATTGGTTTTTGTATTCGATTGTCGACGATGAGAAAAAGAATTTGGATGGTAAATTAGTCGTCGCTAACAGAGAAAAGTCGACACATACGTTTTCATGTTATAGATATCATCTCTTCAAGCACTAGCTCAACAGATGAAGTAGCTGAAGCGACAGTTAATCACATTCTCTTGGCATTGCATATGCTTTTTATCAATATTCTTTTGCTTAGCCTACTTATTGCTATGTTCAAGTAAGTCAGACAAGAAGTCAAACTTTCTATCAACGGCGATACATTGTCGTATAGCTTTTCTATTAACGATGTTCAAGTTAAAAATAAATATTTCTGGCGCTATCAACGATATGAATTGATCCGAGAATATTTCGAAAAGCCAATGTTTATCTATCCACCAATTTCACTAATTATCTACGTTTATTTGCTTATTAGATTAATTATATGTCGCCGCACATACTTTCGAGTATTTAGTAAGTGATCGATTACTGATTCTGTAAATTGATTATTCTATCTAGAACGTCTTATTACGACAAAAACATTGGATACCGAATGGACAAATTTTGAGAATGCAGCAACATACGAACATGCTCGTAGCCTTGTCGAAGAGAAGTATCGACCGCATAGCAAAAGTGAAGCAACATCGTAGGTTTCGTTACTTTACTTTGAATTTAAAAAAAAATTCTATGTCGTGTTGACAGACCATTGATACAGAGACATATGCAAGAATCGATTAATGAGCTTCAAGCGCAGACAAAACAAGTAAGTTGTAGAAACAATTCGGTGTTTATTTTTATAGTATTCTGATTCTTTTTCTTTTAATAGATAATGGTCGATGTGGAATCGATGAAGAAGGGCACGGATAGTGTTAAAATGTCCTCGTAGAACTTATTTTCACTAGAACTTCCAACAGGATCTAGTCAATGAGCGATGAATTGATCAGTGAAGTTCAAAAATATCAGCTAAAAACTTAACTTTTGTTTTAAGACCAAAATTTCTGTCAAGCGAGCTACATATTTATTATTCTCTATTAACGATCTTTTATATAATTAACGAAAATAAAATGATTTTCCTTTTACCTCTACTCATATTTGATTGTGAAGGATCAAATTGTAGACATCAGTTACTATTACGGAGAAGTTACGAACGTCTGAAACTCTTGATTGACCGGCTTGAGTCCAAGTGCTTGTACTTGTGATTCCCATACCTCATAGATTTGTTGTAGGTGCACCGAATACATTTTAGTTTCTTGCTATTGCAACCAAAACAATGTGTAATAAGTTTTATGCAAACAAATGAGTGATATAATAATTATAGCGACCATATTTCTCAGATAGGCAGTCTCTCAAGCGACTCTTGAATATGTTCATTATCAATGTCGACTTGAGTTTTGTCGCACTGAAGTTGCATCTTTTGGAGCTGCAAGATGCTGAATAACAGATAGGCAATAAAGTACATTCGATACTCAAGTCAATACTAATGTGAATCGACGCACGTCGAGTGGAACAGTGGACACGACGTGAATTCTGATTCGAGCTATGACATCATTGCTAATAGTTCTGGATTCAAATTTCAGAATATTTCAAAAATATTTTCCTCTTATGCTGGCACCGAGAACAGTTAGTTTAGTCGAGTAGATGGTATATGTATGGGGACTGATAACGCACTTTTCGCCTCAATCAAATCAAAGCCTGAACATAATTTTTACTGCTAATGAATACAGCTCATTCGCCAGCCGAAAATAGAGTGTAGTGTTGATGTGGCTGCACATGAGTTGTGCATGGAGTATCGATGTGCGTAAAGAATATGAATTTAAATGAACTGTCTTTTATTCGATAGGCAACTACTATTCAATAGCAAATCGAAGATCATTTATTTTTGAAATTTTAGTTTTGTTTCATGAAGTGTCCTAAAATTAATTGAATACTTAATGAATCTTCTAATTTAAATTTTCCTTCATGAGACAACATAGTTTAATATTTTCCAAATAAATTCTCACATGCCAACAATTCTCTTCGTTAATAATATTTTTTATCAAAATGTACAATAAATAAACTCAGATGTTCAATAATACTTTTAATAATTTTTTCTCCTCTATGAAACATATTTTTGACATGTTGAATGTCGTCATCTTTGCTTTCATATATACACACCTTCAACCAAGGACGCTGCGTATATCACTAACAATACGATATTCAGTCAACTTCTCAAGGTGACATAAAAAAAGAAAGAGAAATAGCAGAACATTTCATATTATGATTATACTTCAAAATCAACATGCATGATTATTATGTTCAACTTATGTTTTTTCGTGTTTTCTCATTTAGAAAAAAATGGAAACTAGAAATTTCATTAAGAAATTGTTACAACTTTCTCGTTGATAAATTAGCATCAAATTTATTCATAAATAATATTATATTAGTAAATTTCTTTTTCTTTAATTAACACAACAACAAAAAAATATCCAAATTCACAATAGGACACATACTTTTAATACAAGCACAAAAGAAAAATTAACTTATGAATATTTATCGTAGATTTGAATAAGGTAATCGATTACTACGACGTAAATAACTTACAATCAAATATATAATTGCACTAAGACCAATTGCAAGAATTATTCCACCAATAAATGAAAGCATATCGAATTTACGACCTACGAAAAATATTCATTGTTCTCAAAATTTGTAAAATTTAAATTTAAATGATTATTATACCGGGTGTTTTAGCTGTAGTTGATATCATTGTTGTTGATGTTGTTGATGAATTAGTCGTTGAAGGTGTTGTTACATTTGCTACTGTAGCACTTACACTTGTTACTATAGAAGTTACAGTTGTTGCTGGTGCGATTGTTGTTAGATCGCTAGTGGCATTTTCTGTTGTGACTAAAATAAACACATTAAATTTCTATACTAGATTTATGAAAATAATGGAAGATTATTTAAAAAAGACAAAAAAATGCTTTTCTTAATAATGTTTACTCGATCCCGTTGTTAGTGTTGCCAAAGTGACATTAGGTGTAGCAGTTGATGCAAGTGGTGTTGTTACTGGATCAGTTAAGATATTCGGGGTTGTTACATTAGTATTATTTTCATCCATTAGTGCTTCACATGATGATGCAACTATAGAAGAAGAAGAAGCAGCAGCATTTTATTAGTTAAGCAGAATAAGAAATAGCATAGAGTTTGACTTTTTATAAGACGAGTTCTTTTCTATCAAATTTAGATTTTCAAAAATTCTTTTATTTTTCTAAATTGATTATCATTTTCATTAAATACTAAAGTAGTATGATAAGTAATAGTTAACAAACAGTGACCAATAAAACAACCGTTAGTTCAAATATTATTCTTGTTGATTCTTTGATGTTGTTTATCTACTTATACCTACTGACAAAATTTCACATTTACAAAATAGATCAGACGTTGAATTTGACACAAGAATATTCTTGCTAAAGAAAACTGACGACTAAAACATGGAATTTATCAGAGGAAAAAAAACCTATGAAAGTGAACGAACAAAGCTCAAGCTCGAGAAATTGATTCATTTCATGTTTCTCTTAAGTCGACTTACCCATGTTGTACGTTTTTTTGCACTATCAACAGTATACCGATAAGAAATCTCTACCAATATCGAAAATCTACTTTTTAGAAGTTCATTTCGACTTGAATAAAATCATTCTTTTTCGCAATTATCTCATTTGAATTTACAAAGCATTCCAAAAGTCCATTGAAATAAAAAGAAAAACGTGAATAGCTCTTGAATAGTTCAAGCAATTTGTATGAATTTTCTATGACATCATTCAATGTTCTTTTAATTTTTATTCAAGATAGTTCAGGTCAACTATCTTAGCCTATTAACATTAGAATTAAAACTGGTTTATTAATGATATTAAAGATATGTCTAAACTGATACTTGAGCAGACCAGTCACATTCTGAACAGCCTACAGTAATAACAGAAGAAAAAGTCGATGCAATTCATGTTACTAATGAAAGTGTTCTGGTTGTTTGAAATATCTTTTCTTTTTTTTCAATAGCATTTCAAATGATGACCGAGCTCAGTAAGTGATTCAATAATTCGACTTTGAATCTGTAAAATATCTGTCAAAAATCAGATTGAATTAACAAAAGAAATCGGTAGGAAAAATGCAATGGTTTCAATGAAAATTCTATTTAATGTTTTATTCTAAAAGAATTTGAAATCTGTTGACTTGTGAGTTTTATTTCAGTGTGGATGTTTTAAACAGCAAGCGCAAATATCAAATTATGCAAAAAAAAACTTTAAAAATGTCAAATAACATGATCGAAAAATTCACGTATATGGCTTGAATTTTTCATAAGTTATTTACGTTATTTTTCACTGACGAAGCTTGGCAACATTCCGTAATTATCTAATGCATAAGAATTAGTAATTCAGTTATTTCAAAGCAAGTTTTTTTTTCGCATTCAAGATTGAAAGATAACGGAGTTTTTGTTTGTATTTTTTCTTAAATAAATGATAGTCATACATTATTTTTTCCTACACACTTCGATGTGTCATAAAAGAAAACAACACAACGATTAACATTAATAATTTAGCATTTAGTCCAATTTTACAACACAAATTATTTTATATTTTATCTTACCTAATATAATAATATAAAATAAACCCAAGAAAGTATATTGAATATTCATTTGTATAGTATGAAAAATACGTAATATCAATCTAAAAGAATCAAAACAAAATGAAGCAATAAAAAAAAGAAAACGATGATGCTTTATCATGGTATGGCATAGATAAAAGAGAGTAATTGATACTTCTCGTTTTACATGATACTATGATAAGGAAATAAATAAAAAAGAATATGAAATGGTAAGTACACTATGATAACATATTGCTTATATTACCAATAATAGAACAATTTTGAAAAATGACTTAAACGGGTGAACAATACGTTAGTGACACAATGTCAATAGTTAATGACAGTAATGTAACAGCTTGTGTTTTGCTACTTTTTATGAAGAATGAAAGAAGAAAAATATGCCAACGCAACCACTAGCTGCGATTAAAAAATAACAACATTCATACAAAAAGAAAATTTTTGCTATCCTACTCATATAACAATCTCACTTTATTAATGACATTTTTGCATGTATACATTGTCCGGTATTATACATGGATGAATATCGGTGAAAAATGGAATTCTCATCGTAGTCAAGTAAAACAACAACATAGGTGTATGTCAAATAAATCGACGAGAGAATATGAAAATATTTGTACAGACAACTTGCAATGTTATAAGCAGTATAAAAGAATGTTATAAACTAGATATTTGTGACATCTATCGATATATATATATATATATATGTATTGAACTTTTGATCATAAAATAGAGTCAATACAAATTTTAAAAAAAAAGAAAAATTACAAAATCATTTTTTTTCTAATTATTTCGATCTCACGGTTGAACCGAACGAGATAATGTTCAATATGAAATACATGTATACATGTTAGTTGACAATAGCATCCATGTAGGTCCTACGTTTTTTTTTCTTCTTAATTTTCTCTTTACTCTCGTCCTTATTGTTCGTTACGCTTGGTTGATTTCTCCTTACTACGAACGATAAATTTTTTTTTCGTTTCTTTTCTTCTTTTTACTTTCGTAGCCACAATAAACCATCGATTACTAGTTTGTTAGACCTTGAGATCAATTTTTAGATTCTATATAATATTATCATGACAACACGTACTTCATCATCATCATCAGCAGCATCTTCAGACAGTGAAGCATCAGCACGTAAACGTAACTTTAGTGAAACATCAAGAGATGCATCTCAAAGCGAATCACATGTTCAGGCCACATCAGCAACAAATACTATCGATGCTACTTCAATTGCTGAAACAGGAACTCTACGAAGTGTTTCATCGCCAGCAAGTCATATATCAGGAACAGCTTCTGGTGGCGGTACAGCATACGATTCAGTTAGTCTAGCAACAACAACTAATACAGGTTTTACAAACACTTCACAACAACAACAACAATTGGCTAGTGGCATTCCAATAATTCGACCACCTATTTTACAACAACAAACAAGTACAGGTACTGGAGTTTTCGGACCACAACGACCCACTGGTTATCCAACGCAACCACCAGTAGTTCCTACAAATGCTGTTAATCAACAACCAATTCGAATTGATGTAACAGCAGCACAACAACAATATCAACAACATGGACATCAGCCTGAAATTAGTCCTTATAGTATGAGAGATTTTTGTATAGATAAATTTATATAATTTGAATATATAGCTGGTTCAACAACATCAACAAGTGGTGGATCTTTGTCAAGTCCTGGTACTGCTTCTATTCAACAACAACCTCATACAGGTACTACCCAAAACATACCCAATCAAGTGAATTTGAATAGAATTAATTTAAACCATTCTCAAGAATTTCAACAACAAACTCAAGGTGGTTTTAATCAACCCCATGGACAATATTTCCATCAACAACAACAACAACAACAGCAGACACAACCAGCATTGTAAATATCTTTCCATTATCTAACAAAAAAAAAATTACCACTAAAAAACAAGAATCTTTTTTTTTCATTTTTTATTTCAAGTTTTCCTAATCAAATACCAGCTCATCAAGTTTATAATGAATTACTTGGTCCTGATGCTTTTAAAGATGTTATTTTAGATATTGATTATGGAGCTATGGGAGGATTTAATGCTGCTTTTTCATCAGGTAGTGATTTTTCCGGTGGACAATTACCACCTGGTATTAGTGTTCGTCCAGCATATACAACAGTTGATTCTCTTAATTTTCAACAACATATGTTTAATACAGCACGAACAACACATGCAGGTGGTGAAAATTTTAATTTTAATTTTGGTAGTACTGGTATAGACAGTAATATAGGTGGAACTGGTGATATTTTTGGTGGACAACAATTTGATGTTGCTAAAGCAATGTTTAATCAAGCTGATACAAATCGAGATGGTTCAATTAGTCGAGATGAATTTCAACAATGGGCTCAAGGTGGACAACAAAATATTGGTGGACAATCATATTCAACAACAGCTAATTATCAAACAAATGTACCAAGTTATACTGGTAGTAATGATGGTTTTTATCAGGCAACTTTATTTGATGGAGCAGATCCAACTATAGCTAATATTCTTCAACAAAGTGGACTTGGACAAGTTGTACCTAATCAATAATTAACTGTTGAAAGAAAACTTTGTTTTTTCTTTTTTAAATTGTGTCATCCGTCCTAGCCTAGTTTTTATTTCCTATAATCTTATTATTTATTCTATTCTTCTTTTTTTTTTCTCTTTTTAATAAGAGTTTTTTCATTTTCTATTAGAGGCTATTATCATTATTAATACTATTAGTATTATTATAGAAGTGAGAATCGAAAACATAAAGATCAATATATTAATTTTCATAAAAAATAATTAGGTTTTAGATAGAGACTGACCCAAACTTTTCTTATTGTTCGTCTATTATATTTCATATTGTCGAAAAATCATATTTATAAATAAATTTAAAAACAAAAAAGAAATTATTTTTATGCAATTAGTGATCGAATCAAGCTTGCTTATGTAGTCGAAGAAAGTAACCAAAATAAAGTTTATAACATGATTGAACTATCAATCGAATATCACTTGACTTAGTAAGAAGAAAAAAAAGGTTCTTCTATTTAGTTCACAAGAAAACATTCATTTTTATAGTTGATCATTACTATCCTCTATCCAAGCAGGTACAACAGAAATATTAAGTAATGGTACCGTGCGTATAGGTTTTGATGATTTGTTTGTTAAACTTTCAATAGTTGGCGTCCAGTGTATACTTTCATCAAATGATGCATCAGAGTCAAATAATGTATTTTTTTGTGTTACCATCGATTGAGGTCGAGGAGGTAATGGTGATACCATATTTTGAGTTTGTTTTCGAAGCCACATTGAACTACGTCGTCGTTGTCTTTGATTGGTTACAAGTGCACCTGCTGATGTATTTAATAAATTATCAGTTTTGGAATCAGTATAGATTCCATTTTTAATTTGTGGTAAAATTTTTGCTCGTTTTGATGGTACAAGTGGAATAGGTGCAACATTTAATTGAGAACTATTTGCATTAGTTCTTGTATCAGTATCATTTGAAAATATAGATTGAGGTTTTGCTGATCCTGCTGGTATTGGAATACCTTTGACAACATTTGCTGTATTTGTTGCAACATCAGTTGCTGCTGGTGGAAAGGATAATTTACGTTTACGTTGTAACGTATTTTGTGTATGATTGCTATCTATTTGTTGAGAACTATATGCTGAAGGTAAACGACCAGTAGGTGGTTTTGAACGAACAGGTTGAAAACATGTTTGAGTTTCTTGTTCTGGATTATTTCCATCATTCAAAGCTATATGAACAGTTTATTTTTGAAAACAAATATTTTGAATAGAGTAAGTTAGTCAAATAACTTAATAACCTTTTTATAATGTCGATAAGATGAAACAAAAAGTTCGAAATTAATTTAGGTTTCGATTTCTGCTAGAGATGACTAAGACAAGAAAATATTTTGTACCGTAAAACTCGAGTTATAGAATTTATAGAACTTAGTCATTATTAGAAACGAATACAGTAGAGCTGTTTGACCTTGAAACCAAATTGAATACGGAAATTTAATAAAAATCTATCAAAACCTTACTGTGCAATAAATCTTTAAACATATTCAACTTACATGGATAATCTTTTGGTAAATTCGAATTTGTATGTAAGCCACCATCATTCTATTAATCACAAATATAAAGAAAAATATAAAGATTATATTACAATAATAATAATAATACTGGTTGTGTTTCTTTTCCTTGATTATCAAATTCACATGTTGACGTTGACATTGAAACACGACGTGACTTTATTTCATCTGTTTGAGCATGATTCGTAACTTTTAAATTATATGTTTTTGGAGAAAACTTCTTTTGATATAGATAACAAAGAGCTATAATTATTGTTAAAATAACTACCACACCAAGAACAACACCCAAGATAATATACCATAAACTCGAAGTTGATGAACCATTTGAGCTTTCATTCTAAAATTCAATTAAAAGAAAATTAAAAAAAACTGTGAGTGTAATTCTTGTGGGATTAAAATGTGAAACACGAGGCATCTGCTCTTGCTAATCACAGAAAGATTGTTTTATTTTGTCTATCGTGGAACACATTCATTCATCCTTCGTTTACTTAATCCTTCAGAAATATAATAAAATATTCTGTGGGGCCGGAAGGTGTACAAATTTCTTCTTTATGTACTTCAAAACTACTTTTAGATTATGCTTCACAAAATAGAAAAGGAAACTTACGTTTGTTCCAGTTATTGAATTAGTTTCATATGCATTTGTTGTTGTTGTTGTCGTTATTGTTGTTGGCCAATAAGTAGGTGGTGCTAATGTTACTCTACTATCGTTTACATAAAGTGAACAAAAAATATCTGTAATATTGGGTAATGTATAATTTTCACAATTATTAGAGTCAGTAAAACTTGTAAAAATATATTTCTGTCCAGATGAACATATTGCTTGTGTTAATAAAGCAGTACCATTATTAATCTCAGGAAAATCATTTATACCATCATTAATATATGTTATTAAATTATAAGATTCACAATCACATATTAATGTATTATTTGTTAATAATACATTTGATATTCCAACAATAAAATAAGCTGCACTTATTGAATTTGTTGTTGAACATGCACCATATTGTTCAAGTAAAAGATCAGATAAACGATTAAGACGATTATTATTTAAATAAAAATATCGTGGGTCTGGTGTTTTAGTAAACTGTTCTAAAGATATTGGAACAGTATTTGTATAATTTTCAATTAAATTATTACTCATATCAATTGTCATAGTATTTCCTATATATTATAAAGAAAATAATTATTAAAATAAAAAAAGTATTTATTATTTACCTGTTGTAACAAATAGAGGCCAAAAATCTACACTAACTATTTGATTAAAACTGAAATTCATTGATATAATTGTTGAAGGAAAATCAACAAAATATTCTCCATCAATTAAAGGCATTAATGTTAAGTTATTCTGAGAAAGATTTATTGTTTTTAATTGTCGATTTGCTTTAAAGAAATTCAAATCAATATCATTTATATTATTATATGAAAAATCAACATGAATTAAGTTTGAACCTAAACAAGCGAGTTCAGATGTATTTAATAAACCACTTATATTATTTGATGATAAATCAAGTGTATCAAGACTTGGATACGAACAAATATTTGTTGGTAAAGTTATTAGAGGACCTCTAGTATAAGTTATTGATGATATCATATGTAATTCTTTAACATTTGCTTGAAGTGTGTTAGGTGAAAGTGTAGGCAATTGAGTAAGAGATGGTGTTGAACTACAAATTATATTTAAATTTGTATTATCGGTAAGTGTACAATTGCACGAAGGTGTATCAGGACATATATTTGTAATAGTTGCTGAATAAATAGTATCAAATAATAACATCTATTTAGAGAAACAAAAATGAACATCATTCTTTTATAATATTATGTAACACTTACGATAAAAAATAAATGAAAATATCCACGAAATATTCTTTGTTGCATAGTCAATGAAAAATCAAATTTGTTAGTTATTCAAAACAATGACATATGCTTCATTTGAATTCTTCCAATTTCTCTCTTGTCAACAAAGACATTGTTCGTTGTCTAAGACATACATTCAACACCAATGACGGTTGGTTGCGTTGCGAGGAAGCCAAACAAAAAAAAAAAAACTTCTTATTGCAAAAATAACTTAATGAAATATATATATATACATAAAGCCAAGAATATGCTTATTTTAGATAGATTAACTGCAAGTTATATACTTATGTGACAAGAAAAGAACTATTTTTCTTTTAAAAACTACAAATAATTATTAGATAGAATTGTGTTTGACAACTGCAATTTTAATTAGATTATTTCGAAGTTTTGTTTTGTATTTTTTTTGTTCTCTCAGATGTTTATTGAATTGACGAAAGAAAGCTGTTAGCGCCATCCCTGTGGAATTAAAATGTAAAACATGTTGTAGCTGCAATTGCTAATCGCACGTAGATTGTTTTATTTTATATATTTTGGGACACATTTTTTTTTTACCATCCTTGTCCACAAATGCAATAAGGAAGTATTTCATATATTACAACAAGCCGTTATTGATATAAATTCTGTGATGATCTCTAACTAGTGTCTGCTCCGATCTGTAGAGGGTTCAAATTTTCATCTCTATATTCCAGCCATGCGATTAGATCATGTTTCACAAAAAAAATGCTATTCAAAGTTATTAGATTCATGAAAATTTCTTGTAAGTTTCAAGCTTGTATTTTGTAAATGTAATATTGTTTTACTAAACTTTTTCTTATTTGATTCAAATAAACATTGGATGTTAAATATATGTAGAAGCTTATATTAAAAAAAAAAAGAAGCTTTGTAGAATGATTGCCATTTTTATAGTTTTATTTTTAAATTAATGGTAGCAATTGAATATACATTGAAGAATTCTGAGTATGTTTAGTCAGATGAAAGTAAGAAACTCTTGACGTAAATTTATACTATTAATAATTCTTATCATAGATGATCAGATTAAAGGTTTCATTGATTTGTTTAGAAACAGAAGCAACAAAAAAAAAACATCAATAGATTTGATTTGTTACTCTTTGCAGGTAAAAATCGTCCAATAAATACTTCACTGAAACTATCAAACTAAGAAAAAAAATCTAAGATTAGATAAAAATTTTATTTTCAATAAACTCAAATAGGGTTTCTGGTATTTACATATAACTAATAAATATCAAAATTATATTTATTGCTTTACAATAGTTCCTAGATGATGTTGATATAAGGTAAACACTGTTTATTCGATAAGAGATACAACGAACTTTTAGTATATTCAAATAGAAAACAGCAGATCTTAAACCTTTGGATCCTAGAAAAGGTTTATTGATATATACTAAAAGCTCATCCGAAATTAATTAGTACAATTTACTATAATTTGAACCCAAGGAAGAAAAAGATGAAATGTACGGGTTACTCAAAACTGCACAATCTCGAACTTTTGAATTCGCCTTTTTCTTCTTTGCAGACAACTTTAGAAGTGATAAAATATTTAATAATTAGTTGATATTTCTTTCTTTTTTTTGCTTAATCACACAAATGTTTTATTTTTTTTCATAGAAATCAAAGTTATATTAACAATTTGAAAGTAAGTAAAAACTAGACTGCCATGCAAGAAGAAGAAGAATTTACCATGACAACTAAGTCACTAAAAAGCAATAAGTTTGCTAATATACTGCATCCAATCAGCCGTCTTATGATACAGACAAGCAGTTAACATGTTCTTTAGGATAAAAAAAAATTCATAATTCCATTTGTGATGTATGTGTTTAATGTATTAGCAAATGAATGATTATTTTGTAGTAAGATTTTCATGACCTACATTATGTTCCATTTCATTATCAAATATCGAAAATTCATCATATGAAGCTAGAACATTCTGTTTTGTTTTTCTATTAAATCAAGTACAAACTTCTTTCTTATTCCGTTTATGAATTGGTCAATAGATTTTCGTTTAGACTTGAATATCATAGCATAGGTCATGTCTATTATTTAAAAGATGTATGTTAACATGTAGATTACAAAACGAAAAAACAAAAGAGAATGAGTAAAATGCTTTTGACTTGGTAATCAGAGAACATGGTAATAATAATGATGATGCATAGATTATAATTATGTATTGAACATGAAAAAGAAGACTAAGTAACAAATACTATGATTGGATTAGTTTTAAAACAAATTCCATTCATGGTTTCGTCTAATGTTCTTTTTGATGTGTGCACTGGTTTTATTTGTATATTTTAACCTCTTCATTTGTGTTGTCATCTGTTCATATGGAAAAAAAAAGTAGACGTTACAGTTCATTGTGTTCTACTTTAACTGTTAGATCACGTTTCTTATCATAGAAAAATGTTTTTTTTTTTGTTCGGTACGACATTTTCTTTTTATTGTCCATCTTGCTTTTCAAAAAGAAATATTGAACAGACATTATTATATTATGAAGATTATTCTTTCCTGCACTGACTGACAATATAACATAACAACAGAATAATAACATTTAGCGATAGAATAACTGATTCTCCGATTGCTTTTCTTTCTCAAGTTCAAAAAAAGAAAGTATTATTTTAGATTTGATTAATAGAAAGCAGAGTGAATATTGATTTGGAAATGGTAAGAATTTTTCTATAAACATTCTGACAACATTCTTTTACTATAAATTGTTTATTTTCTTTATCAAATAACTCAATAGTTCACATTTCTTTGAATTATTGATCAGATATTGAATTATTATAAAATGTCAATGATTTAATGTATATTGTCAAATAAATTTTCATAATGTCAATTTAACTTTATTACAAAAGAAAAAAAAACAGATCAAAGCAAAGATAATGTAATATTCTATTGATATGTCTATTTTAGTTTTTTGAATAAGTCAATCTTGAAAAATATTATGGCATATATGTCCAATTTAATGGACTTTGATCGGCACTAATGATTCTTTTCATTGTCATTGTAAGAGTTCTTTGACGATGACATTTTAAAAAGCCAATTGTATGTATTTTTTTTCGTAAACTAGGCAATGATGATAATGTTACAAAAGGCAAAAGAAACATAACCCAATATGTGAGAAAAAATGTAATCTGTTGTGCTTGAACACCAATATATGCTGGTAAACCACAAAGATGTGCAACAGACATAATCATAATAGGAAAATTTAAGAGTAAATAAAGTATTGAAATAGATAATAATTGAATTATCATTTTACGATATATTTTCCATCGAAATACTCGATGACGACGACTTTTATGAACTATAACACGAACAAGTAAAGAAATGCTAAAAAATGCAACAAGTATTGTTGATAAACATCCATGTATACCCATTTCCCATAAACCTAATATAGGATGAAAAAGATGACATGGTGATGCAGCACATACAGGTAATACATATATATATGTATGATGACATGGTGGAAAAAATATAACAATTGTATAATAAATAATTGAATAAAGAATAAGAATAAATAATGGAAGATAATGAACAAAAAAACGTTTCTTTTTTGTTGATATCCATCGATCATGAAAAACAAGAATATGTCTTTCAATTGATGTCCAAGCAAGAATAAGTGCAGTTGTATTATAAAAACCAAGATCAACTAACCACCATATAAGACAACGTGCAGGTATTTGTGGCCAAACAAAACCTTGTCGAATAAAATCAAGATACCATGGAATATCAGTTAATTGAAATATAAGTGCTATTGTTAATAAAATAATAATTGTATGATTATGTAAAGCATAACGAGATTTTCGATTAGTTAATAAATGATAAAGAACAAATAATGAACATGCTATTGATGGAATATCAAATATAAGTAAAAGCCAAAAACGAAGTGAACGTGGCCATGATATTTCAGAATTTTCAAAAGCAACTGTTCCACTATCTGTCATCTTAGTTTTGTTTGTTGAAAGAATTATAAATATATGTAAAAAAGACAATGATGTCTTGTCAAACTAAGCAGCATGTTGGAATAACAAACAGCTTAATAACTATAGACAGATATTCACAATGTCACACATCTATTTTTTTTTTATTATTATTCTATGTTAGTTAGAATGTTGTCTTATTGAGTGATACATATTTTATTTCATCTAAAGAATAATAAGTGAAAAAAAAAACAAACAAATACTTCTTTTCAAATAATATTGTTTTGGGTGTTGCTTTACTAAATTTTATTTTTAAAGATAAACTAAATCTATGTTAACTATTAGAGAGTAAGCAAAAAAAAATAATTCTTCATTGTCGGAAAGCATAAATAGTTTTCTTCATCCAAGTAGATTAGAATATGATTTATCACGGGTAAGATTTTTTTTATTTAAATAAATTCATCATGTCGATGAATTAGATAACATGTCAAAAAGAAAATTTTATTTTAAAAATTCAATAATATTTCAAAAGAAAAATGCTCAAATCAAATGAAACAGTGAAACAATAAATGAATGAAATCATCATGAATCAATGATCGAAAAAGAAAATTTCCCTAGAGTAGAATTCTATTATTTGGTAATAGTAGTGGACATAAGTGCTATGATTATAATAATCTTTGGATAATGAATACTCATAGTAGTCGATGAAGATAAACAATAATCGCTTCTTACAATTTCCGTATCTATGAGTGAAAACATTGTATTAGTATACATCAAAAATTTACAAGCACGTCCGTAGTAACTCGAAAAAGAAGCTTCGTTTCTATCTTCGTACAAATAAGAATGTTTGATACAATAGATGCAGTGATATGTGTTAAGATTCATCATTGAAAAGTACTAATTATTTGTTTGAATTATATTATTAAAGATTGTCTGAATATTTTTCACTTTTTCTATTCTTACACATGTCAAAACAAGTAGTGAACAC